AGATTGTAGAAAGGCAAAGTCATGGCCAATAAAGTCCAGTTAGTAAAGCTTGTTTGGGTTCATTCTTTTGATCCATTCTTCAGGCTAATAAGGGTTCAGAGTTGTCTTAGTGGTTAACCTTTGCTCTCCCTGGTAGGAGGGGTTTTAGTTAGGGTTCTCTTTCAGGGTGCAGATTGCCAATTTCTTGTATCCTCACATGGTGGAAAGAGCTAGCTCTTTGGCTGCTTCTTATAAGGGCACTAATCCCATTCAAGAGGACTCTACTCTTACACCCTGATCACTTCCAAAGGTCCCACTTTTTAATACCATCACATTTGGGATTAGAATTTCAACATAAGAGTTTTGGGGGAGACATAAACATTCAGTCTTGTTTCAATCAATGTTGACTTTGGTCTCTTTCTGCAAACAAGCATTCACACATAGAAAGAAACATAACCATCGAAAGCTCTTATATTTCATGTTTCAGCTTCCACCAGAAAGGGTCTATCTATATTACCAAGAGGAATATATTACCAAGATTCCCTTATAGCTGGGTTTTTCGTGTGACTTGAATGACACTAACAGATGCCTCAGAGATTTGAAAGGCAGAAGTTCACATTATGGGGGCTGTTTCTGGGCAAGCATTGTGTGCAGATGCTTGGGTTTTCTGTAACAGTTGTAGCTGAAGTCCCAGTCACTGGTTCCTAGCTTTATAGGTGCCAAGAAGCAGAACATGGAACACCCATTTCACTTGCAGAGAGAGCCCCAAAAGAAGTGGTTGGCCTTCTGGTGTGTCAGTAAACTCTGCAATGGGCTCCCAGAAGCTGTCCTGGAAGCTCACTAAGTCTCTGCATCTCCAGCCCTTCTAGCAATTTCGTAAGCACCTAATTCTAAGAGTGATGGAGGAAGGAAACATCATGTGGTAAAACATTAATAGGTGGATGCTTTCTGCTTAAACTTATAAAAGAAGCTTCTATTTTCTGCACTGAATCCTGATGCACATAGACCCTTTCTGGTAGAAGCTGAAATACAAAATATAAGAACTTTCGATGGTTATGTTTCTTTCTATGTGTGAACACTTGTTTGTAGAAAGAGACTAAAGTCAACACTGATAGAAACACAGATAAGGACTGAGGGAGAGTTTAAATCTGAGTTTAAATTCCCAAAATCCCTGAGGCCCCCTAACACAACTCTTTCATAATTTGGATAATATTAAAGCAAGCCTGCTTTTGATTTTGAAATATCACAGAAATCTCTCTCTCTTTTGTTGTAGAGCACTCAAGATAGATTTCTGTCACTAGCAGATCGAAAGTTGTATTGAATTGAGCCATAATACTGCAGCTCTTATTACTGGGTTATACTTTTAAATAATTAGTCCATTCAGTGTGTCTTTCACCCTCCCCTCTCCTAGCTGTGGTTACTTATTTTGATCATGTAGATCTTGTAGTAAGGTCAACTTAAAACTGAGTGGTTATATGTGTGCTCTATTCATAGCCACAGCTTCATCCTAACAAATCTTTAACTTCTGGAAAATTACCTTAAGTTAGGGGCCTGCTGTTGGCAGATCAGTAATCCATAAAATGTAGAGGTAGTGTAAAAGCAACTGTTATGAAGCAAACTGTTCAACCTAAAACAGTGGTGCCTGCTTGCTGGAATGAAGCCCTCTGCTGTGTGAAACAGGGCTCTAATGTTGGCAGTTTCAAATGTATGAAGTCAAGTTTGTCTTTCACCAAACTCAACTGAGCCCCAAACAATCCAAAGGCCAAACACTTCCTTTCCTAACAAATGACCTATCTAAAATTGTAAGTGAAGTCGTTAATTGCTCAACAAGCAACTGTGAACTAGTACCCCCAACCCTTTCTCATTTCCACCACTGGGTGGCAGGCAGCTGCCAGGTGTCAGATTGACTACACAGGCCAATTTTCTTGCATGTGTGTGTGTGTGTGTGTGTGCGCGTCCTCGCACACTTTTAGAGGAATGATCCCTTGTTCACAGCCCTTGCTGAAAATGTAAAGCTGGTGCTTGTGTTTTACCTTATGATATCTCTCAGATACTCCTTGTCCTTATATCCCTTCATTTGCCCATAGAGGAGCCAATGATGTGCCAGATTTGTTTTCTAGAAAGTAAAGCAAGAAAGGAACCACCTAGCTAGCAATGAGAGTTGGCATTCAAAGCACAAGCACCCAAGGAGGAGAAGAAGACAAGATGGACATTCTCAAAATTAAAAAATTTCATGCATCAAAGGACACTCTCACGAAAGTAAAAAGACAATTCACAGGATGAAAGAAAATATTTGCAAATCATGTATTTAATAAGGGTCTAGTGTCAAGAATATATAAAGCATGCTAACAATTCAGTAACAAAGATGCAGAATCTGATTTTATGTATGAGCAGAGGATGTGAAGAGAGATCCAGAACACACACACAAAAGACCACTAGGAAAAGGAAATATGCTCAACACTTAACCTTTAGGAGAATCAAAACCCTAAGATTCTACTTTGTAATCACTGGGGTGGCTATAATTTGACATAAGGAAAAATAAGTTTTGGTGAGCATGTGGGGGAATGGAATTCGCATATATTACTAGAATTTAAATGGCCCAGCTGCTGTGGTAAATAGTTTAGCAATGCCTCAAAAAGTTATATGCAGAATCACCAAATATAATCCAGAAATTCCACTCCTAGAATGTACCCAAGACAGATGAAAAAGGGTATATATAAATGTTCCTAGTAGCCAAAGACAATGAAAACAACTCAAATGTCCATTTGCTGGTTAACGGAGAAACAAAGTGTGGTGAATCCATAGAATTCTTTCGGGTGTATACATAGAAGTAGAGTTGCTGAGTCATACAATATTCTATGTTTAACTTTTTGAGGTACTGCCAAACTGTTTCTGGGAATTAATTTTTATCTGCTTTTTCTACTACTCGTGGTACAATATGAAATCAGCAGTCAATAACATTTACGGCCATGTACTATACAGGTTTACAGAGCCATTTTAAAGTCAGACACACTTTCACTGAGGGTGTACTATGTGCCAGGGACTCCTGGGGGCTGAGGACACAAAGATCAATAAGACACAGTCCCTGGTCCCCAGGGATCACAGTCCAGAAGGGGGCAGGGAGCTGGACTGGATTACAAAGGCAGAGGCAGCCAGGTGGTCCACGCCTAGAGGAGCTTACACTTTAATAGGGGAAAGTTCTAAATTAAATAAATACCCATGCACAAACAAAACCTTATACAGCACCAGAAGTTGAGCTGAGACAAGAACAGATATTTATACAAACAATGGATCTTAAGCAGTTTGTTTCGATGGGAAAAGTGGGCTGAGAATTCTGGAGGTGATGTGGAGGGACAAATCCTGGCCTAGGGCTCAGAGCACTGCAACGTTCATGCCAACTTGGCCACTGGCTGAATTTATGGATATTTATAAATTTTTTTGTCTATTCCTCTGATTTCAGAGAAGGAGATGATCTGGATCATCTTGCTAGTCATTTGGAGTTTGGACAAGTTGTTTTTCCTGCTGTAGTAAAACATGGAATTGGTTGAAGTAAAGAAGGAGAGTCTTGGGGAAAGAATATAATACTTATTAGCAATATTTCTCTCTGATTGGAGCCCCTATTGGCATCTGAAAAAAACTATTGAACAGGCTTATCCTTCTGGTGATTTGTAGGACTCATAGGATGTTTATGCATGTGGCCAATGCAGAACAAAGGGGAATGAAACTGATATTTGACTAAGGGATCCAGTTGCTACCACTGACTGGCCAGGGATGACACACTTGTGGCCAAGACTGAAGCTAAGGCCATGGAAGCCAGGGTGGGTACTGGAGCAATATAGGATTTTAAAAGAATAACTCACTGTACTTAGTAGTATACACAGAGGAAGAGGAAGATGCCTTCAACTTGCCAGAACTCAGAGCTGACTAACCACATACTCTTTTCGAACTCACCACTCCTTTATTCTGGCAAGATCTATCTTCTCTCCCTTCATTACCTCTCACCCCTCAGTCATTCTTTATTCTCTTAGTCTTTCAGTCCTTTCCTGACTCCACTCGACTCCCTATAAACTCTGAACTCCCAGTCAGTCATTGTTCCACTGCCAGAGACCCTCAGAGTTGGTGTTGGCTGTTAGGCCTGCCACCCTGCTTTCCGTGAGAGCTCCTTCACTCTCCTGTCCTGATGAGGGGTGCTTCATCCTTCCTTTTGAGCCTCATCCCCTGGGAAATTCTGCATCTTCTCATAGGTTCCTTTCATCTCCACCTAATTCCACCACGCCCCTACCTGGAGCTGGTTCCTGAAAGCCATTTCTTTCAGAATCCTGCATGTCTTAGACCTTTATTGTTTTCTCTTTTGACATTTTCTAATTGACAAATTTGCCCAAGTCTCTTTTTATTAAAAACAAAACAAATGCCACTTCTCTTTGTCCAGGATTAATACAGAGAAGTAATGGTAATTAATAAAAACAAAGTAAATTTAACATTTTAACCTCATTTCATGATTATTTTTGAGACATGTTAAGACAGAACTTCAGATCTGGTTATGGACTGGAAGGACATATTTTTAATTGAAACTCCAGTTCTTTTGGGCTGTACATTAAAAGGTACTGAAAAGCTTAAGGAAGGCTGGCCATAAAAGAATGATACCAGTGATTCAGTGATACCCTCAAGAACCCATTTTTAAAAATTTTTCTGTTTTCCCTTCCATGAGGTGAGTTGCATTTAAAATTAGCCCATATTGTGGTCTCAAGATGGCTACAAATAGCTCCCTAACCTGCAGGCTTCCTACTCACCTCTACAGCCAAGAGAAACTTCATCCCAACATTGCCAGTGAAAATCCTGAGGTTCACTGTGAGGGGTCTGACTGAGGTCATGTGCTCAGGTACCTCTGAACCAGTCATGGTGGTTATGGAGTGAATACAATGATTGGCGTAGCCTTGATCATGTGCTCTTTTACCATAGCTGGAGTGCAGTTCTTGTTCCTGAAATCATATTGTGTCCCTAGATTAAATTAGAGTACTTACCTTCTACTCTTGTGCTTCCAGGATCTACAGACTGGCTTGTCCCTCAGGTCCTGATGCATCCCTAGACCTGTGTCTAGATAGTGTAACCTTTCTCAGACTCAGCCTCTGAGATGTACTAGATGTACAGGCACTAGATGTAAACAAGTACCTTGTGGAAAACTTCAGAACTGTGTGGAGCTTGTGGTCAGAGATGAAGGGTGCAGAGAAGTAGGGAAAGGAGAGGGAAGGGCCATTTGGCCCTGTTATAGTGATGCGGTGATGTCATGCTTTCAACTTCCCAACATCTGCTGGGAGGCTCCTGTTGCTAAAAGCAGAACAGCTGATTAGAGGACAAAAAGAATAAAGTTTCCACTTAATTCTGACCAAAAAGGAAAAGCCAGCTGGTACAACAGAAGGTATGGGGAACATGGGAGGAAGTGACTGAGTCACCTTGGAATTTGTCACAGTAGAGAGAGGGGATGAATGGGCATGTTCAGACACATCCATTGGTTTTTAAAATCAGAGTAAGGTGAAATGAGATCACACTGTTTTTCTAAAGGAAACTATCACTTAAGAAGAATAAATAGCTTTAAGAAAAGGAGTGCTTACTCTGTAATCCTGGGTTATCCTAATGAGAAGGACACAGTGGAGACATTAGAGAAACTGAATGTGCTCAAGAAATTGTCCAAGCCCAGATTTAGAAAGAACAAAAACAGAATCTTGGAGGAATGGCATATTGTCAAGATTGAGTCTAAAACCATAGATGTGGTACAAATCTGCACAAGTGGAACATCCTGAGAGGCTGGCTATGATGAATTGAGACTTGAGAAAATACTAAAACCAAAAGGCTTATTTTTTCCACTTATTTTTTAAGCAAGAAGATGAACAGAGAAGGAAATGTTGGTATCAAATTAAATGACAGAAAAAATAGAACCACTTAACTGACATTTTGGGGTGCCTCTCTCTTTTTAAGAAAAGGGATTTTCAACATGGAAGGAGAGAACCAGTTCCAAAAGACTAAAGATGATAGTAAAAACATGAGCTCACTAAAGTGCATTCAGTAATTAAGGCAAATGAATTATATGCAAAGGTATTGAAGCAACTTGCTCAGGTGTTAGATCTTGGGATGTGTAGTAAGCAGGATAAGGGCATCTTTCAAAGATGCTCATGTCCTAATACACACAATCTGTGAATATACTACTTTACATGACATGAACCAAAACAAAATAAAAACCAAGCCAAAAAAAACCTTTGCAGATGTTATCAAATCAAGGCTCTTGAGATGGAAAGATTATCTCATCATCTACATGGGGCCTATGTGGTCACAAAGTTTCTCATAAGCGGGAGGTAGGAGAGTCAGAGAAGGAAAAGATGATCTGAGGATGGGAACAATGGTTGGATGTTGCCACTGTTTCCTAGGGCTGTGGGCCAAGAAACATGAGACAAGAAATGTGGGTGACCTGTAGATGCTGAAGAGTCAGGGGAATGTGTTCTGTCTTCAAAGCCTTTGGGAGAAACATCCCCCAGACAGGTTGATTTTAGCCAGTGGAACCAATTTTAGACTTCTAGCCTTCAGAGCTGTAATGTAAAAGAAAAAAATCTGTGTTGTTAAAGCCAGAAAGTCTTTGATAATTTGTTATAGCAGCAGTAGGAAACTAATACAGGATCATCGCTCCAGACTTGAAAAGCCACTACAAAAAGGAAAACAAAGGCTGCCACATTCCAGTCTTAAAATGGGCGTTACCATAAGCACAAACTTGGTGTTAATTCTTGGTGAAATTTTAGATTGGTTTACTAAACAAGTGGCTTGAAAGACTCAGAAAAGTAGGTCAACACCAGGAGCAAAAGTAAATAAAGAGTCAATTATCTCCAAATAAGGTGACTTGAGATTAAATTTATCAGATTTATTATAAAATTTATGTCTGTAGCAAACAAATAAAAGATTCAACAAAGCTTTGGATAAATGCCATATGATAATTATGCAGAGAAGACAAGCAAATGTAGACTGAATCATAGACAATTTAGGTAGATTCATAGTTAACTGAACACATGTACCCAAAGCATGTTGATTTAATATATCAAAGCCATTTTGGAAAACAAAAACAAAAACTAATCTTCTCTACTACCTTTGGCCAAATCCTATTAATATATATTTATACACAAATATACACACATATTTATATATTTAAATCAATGTGGATGGATATATAAATGGTATAGTTACTAATTTATGGATAAGATAATATTAATGGGTGAATAAAAATGATTAGTATTTAAAGGGTCTTCCTAGGTTTGAAAAAATGAACAGAAGCTGGTGAGATAAGATTGTACAGGGGTGTTTATAAAGTCTGGTATTAGGTTAAAAATGCAAAAGTATAATATAGACAATATAGGAGAGGTCTGGAATGGAATAAATTCTCATTTTCAAACAAAGTAGTATTTGGTGATTTTCACTGATGATGAACGGCATTTGAATCATGAAGAATGTGATCAAATTACAAATCTATCTTGGCTTCCATTTAGGGGGGCCAGATCTTCAGATCTGCCCTTGTCTGGCTGCTACAGAAGCCATATCTATAATTGTGGGATCAGAAAATACAAATACGCAGGTGTGTCCTGGAGCTAATGAGCAGAGCAGTTTGGTTAGGATGGAGCACTCTCATTATGAAGATGTGAGAACCATATTGGCAGATAGGTGAAGCCATACTTCGTTAACTGGACTTTTGAACTCAGCCTACCATGGGAGCTGTATCTTTTAGACAGCAAGGAGGTTCTAAGCATTTGTAAGAAGGAGTAGGGATGTAAGAGTTGTGTTTTTGAGGTTAGATCTGACATTTTACCTGATATAGAAGCAATGGGATGGAAAAATAGTAGCGGTGTGTGGGTAAGTGCTCAGATCTAAAACCAAGACTGGGGTAGATATGCTGATCCTCAATTTCCTGAGATTTAACTTTGGCCCTACCTCTCAATGCCTCTGTTTCCTCATCTGTAAAATGTGAATAGTAATAGTATCTAATAAAGTTGTTATGTGGATTAAAAAAGCTAAAATATGTGAAGCACTTATAATGGTTCTTGGTACACAGGAGAGCTCTTGGAAGTACCTATTATTGTAGTTCAAATTGGAATGTGTGAGTAATAAAAGCTCAGCTGCACGGAGCACAGTGAAGGCAAAATCTAGAGATTTTGTTGCTTGCCTAGTCCTATTTCTGGCCATGCCTCTCTCAAGCCTTCCAACCTTTGTTCACATCATGGTTACAGGGTAGAAGCTTGCAAGGTGCTCACTGCCTGAGGGCTTTCCCTTTCCTTGTGCCCAGATTCCCATAGCTGCTTGCTTCTTACGTTGTATTTCCTTAACTACCTTTTCACGTGTATGCATCTCACTCTATCCAATTTTACTCTATCCAACACTATCTACAGGAAGGCAATGCTTTATCTGTTTCTTTTTATCTCTCACAACATCTAGCAGAATCTCTGGCATGTAGTGCTTTTTCAAAACTGAAGACAGAGCCCCAGATCTGCAGAGGATTGGGTCCAGGAAAGCACACACACACACACACACACACACACACACACACACGTACCACTACCACAGATACCGAACTGCAGATACTACACAGATCCTATACAACATATAAATAGCTTAGTTTTTGCATACGATCTATGCACATCCTCCAATATGCCTTAATATAGCTCTACATTACTTAGGATATCTTATATATGTAAAAGCAATGTAAATAGTTGTTATACTGTATTATTTAGGGAATACAAATTAGAAAAAAGTCTGTACATATTCAGTACAGGTGTAGTTTTCCCCATGTATTTTTGATAGGTAGTTGGTTGGTTCCTTAGACGCAGAACTCACAAATATGTAGGGCCAACTGTGTTGTTGGTAAAAGAGTGGGCTAACTTGATGATGATCCATGTTTCCAACCCCATGTGGGGGCAGTGGTGGCACCTGTGATACCAGTGACACAGACGCCAAAAGTAAATTAGCTTCATAAGTCAATGTTTCCAATCTGGAGGTATAGGTCACAAATTACTTGGGGTAAAGTTCCAAAGACTCTAAAGAAGAACTCAGTAAGTGATTTCAGTTCATTTTTGTCTGGCCAGTCTCTCTTAAGTTGAAGACAAATTAAATTGTTCACATTTTGAAGATGTGCCCTACCAAAAACTGTTTTTCTGGATGTGTGGAGTGGTGTAATAGTACCATCTGTATTTTTCCAAAGAGAATATTGTAGTTATGAAAATGCACAGTGTATATGATTGGATTCCAGTGTATTTGTGTGGCATCAAGGTAGAGATGCTAATAAATTTTGGTGAGAGTTTCAATGCTTCATGTCTACCTGAAATTCTTCTTTCTTTTCTTCTTTTTTCATCTTCTTTTGATGCATCCTTTGGCAGGACTGTCTTCGTTTAGCAAATCTATATAAACAAAGGACCTTGAGGATGGCTTTTACTACAGAGTTGAGGTAACAAGTCAGCACAGAGGGGGAAGGTAGGATGAGTTTTTCTCTGCTTTTTAATCATGATGATGCCAGTACATGCTACACTATTCCATGTACCCACACAAGGAGGGGAAGAAAAGAATGCTCTAGAAATGCTATTTATCCTTCAGTAAATATGGGCTATTGCATCAGCCATCAGTTAATGGACTGGGATTAAAAGACTACTATCAGCCTAATACTGTGTGCAGCTATTTGTGGTTATAAATCAGACAGGATGTTTAAAAAACTCTAATTAGCTTTGGAGGGAAAAGTGCAAACCACAGTGCAATATTTCACTTTACTTGATTCAAGGAACTAATTTTCATGACTGTAATGAATGTAGAAGCCAGCAACTGAAAAAACAACTCATTTGGCAGAAAAGATAGTCTCATAAGAACAATCTTGCCAGGTGGTAATGGTCAGTAGACAGTAGTTGACTGGTAGAAACTACCCACGAGCTAAGCCTAAAAGTGAACACCATAAAGATTTTCACCTTAAATGCCTGAGTAGCGTTGCTTTGTTTTGTTGATATTGGTGTTAAGGAAAAAGAAAATCATGAGTCTGGACATCCTTCCCTGTAATATTAACCATCTGCCCAAACGTAACCTACTTATTTGCTGGCTGACATTCTACTTCTGTGGCTCTTTCTTTTCATAGTGATTATGAAAAATCCCTAATGGTGACTGCTGTTCACCAACATAATAGAACAGTTGTT